CTATATATAGCACTATTGTTACCACATTAGGACACAGTGTGTTTCACCTTTCCTCAGGTTCACGCTTGAGTCAGGACTCATAACACCCCCCCCCCCCCCCCCAGGGGAGGACAGAGATGCACTAAGGCCAAGTTCACTCTCAAGCTCAGGGGGATTATAGTGCACGCCCTAACTCACAGTGACTTCACATAGAGCACTGGTTAGCATTTGCTGCTAGGTAGGGCACATGGAGGTTGTGCAAAGATTCATTCAGTGCTTTAAAAGGTCCCCTATTATACTGTTTTTCATCAATATATCATAGCTCTCAGATATATACAGAACATGTCTCTGATTGGCTGAAACACCAAACAGATCATTGCAGCATTACCCATAATCCCCTCTGTTTCAGCCCTGTTTCCAAAGTGCTGATTCTCTGTCTGTTACTTTAGATGAAAATAAGGAGCCCCTCCCCACGCCCCTCTGAGAGACATTTGGTTAAAAAGAACTCAATAGTGCTCTAGGAGGAGATTCAGGTGATAAGGTGGGGGGGGGGGGGGTTACCTTGGTTGCTGATTGGCTAATGGTTACACAAGACAAAATATCGTTATGACATCATAAAGCGGCCAAAATCTGATCAGCTCATTTTCAGACAGGTTTTTATAGAAATGGATCAGGACAAAAAGAGAGAGAATCTTTGTTCCTGAAACTTTCAGAGTCTCTTTCCACAGAGGGGACACATGTTGAGAAGAGATATGAAGAAGAGGGGATACATGTTGATGTAGAAGAGACATGAAGAAGAGGGGACACATGTTGATGTAGAAGAGACATGAAGAAGAGGGGACACATGTTGATGTAGAAGAGACATGAAGAAGAGGGGACACATGTTGATGTAGAAGAGACATGAAGAAGAGGGGACACATGTTGATGTAGAAGAGACATGAAGAAGAGGGGACACATGTTGATGTAGAAGAGACATGAAGAAGAGGGGACACATGTTGATGAAGAAGAGACATGAAGAAGAGGGGACACATGTTGGTGTAGAAGAGACATGAAAAAGTGGATTTTGCATAATAGGTGATATACATAAAACAACAGAAAATAAACGTCTCTTCCCTTAACTCCTCTGTTACTGTGCTGCTGTCTGTGTGTGTTTGCACCTTTAAAAGCTCAAAGTGGCTCACGAGACAATCCTGGAGAAAGATAAAATGAGGAATTGTCAAGGTGTGAAAACCTGAAAAAGGCTTTTCACCTTATTTGAAAAAATGTATCTTAATATTGTTTTGCTGCATGTTCCAACGCTTCACTGAAGTCACATGATGCGAACTGAGGGAAATATTGAAATGCAGTGCTCGTTTAGTTTCATCAACAAAATCACGCATAATATTTGTACATATAAAAATACAGCATGATATTGGGGATCTTATGGAGAAGTATCCTCACTAGCGCTTTCAACCCGGAGTACTTTCCCCCCCGAACTTGGCCGATAGGGGGGGGGGGGGGGGGGGGGGGGGGGAGATTTGGTTTCACACCAAAAAGGACCTGGAACCATTCCCTAGAACCTTTTCACCCCCAGATAGTCCCTGCTAGCGAGGTAGTACTTTCCTGGGGAGGAAATGGTTCGTGGGTGTGTTTCCAATTTCTGATTGGCTGGGCGAATTGCAAACCACGCCCTGTAAAGCTCCGAAAAGTTTTGTGAGGCCGCCATTTTATTTCCTCGCATTAGCATTAGCCCAGCGCACCAACAGAGAGAGACTAACTTATGGCAACACAAAAGAAAACATGGGAGCGGTAGAGTGATGAGGAGGTGTCGGCGCTTCTGGCGATTTACTCGCCAGACGCGACCCAGCAGGTTTTACTGAAGCCAGTCCCCAACTCCAAAGAACAAGTGACGTCAGCGGCTTCATTTGCCTAATCCTCCCTCTGGGACTTGTTCCGGTGAGAACGCGATCTACTAGGACAGTTCGAGGGACTAAAGAGTTTGGGGGGAACAAGTACCGCTATATAAGCTGAAAGGTGCAGTGTTTCCCCTATATACAAATAGGGAAAAATGTGCGCCGCTGCTAGGGGGCGCCAGCCAGGTACCAACATTTTTTTTAATTTATTTGTTATTGGCTATGGTAGGTTATTGGTTATGTTCACATACTTATTTGATTATTAAAATGTAAACCAATCTTTTTCATATGGGTGTTTTAGAGTTGTACCCCCTAGATCAGGTCTCTAGTAATTGTGTGCTCAAAGTGCACCAGATTGAAGCATTTTACTTTAAAATGTTAAAAAAAATCTTCCCGGGGGGGCATACCCCCGGACCCCCATAGAGGATGTGACGTCCACCCCCCAATTAAAACATGTTCATACAATACTGAATACATTTGAAGCCATTTTGACGTATATTACCTATGTCAATACGTTTCTATTTTCGTAGTGTATTTGTCTTTTGTATTTTTCATTTAATCTTTATATATAAAATCTCGCCTAAAATCTCACCTAGGGCAGCAAATTGTCTAGAACCGGCCCTGGTACGAGGCCTCAAGTGCCTTTCTTGTGCTGGCAGACTCATAGAAACAAATTGGCGGGGCGCACTTTGCACGCACTAAAGAATTCCACGTACTCACATTATGCTGGGCCCACATGCCTTAGCACCGCTGCTATGACTCCATCCTAGGGGAAACACTGAGGTTCTTTTGATGTTTGATCCCTTTCTTCTGCCGTTTGACTTTTAAGATTTATGAGATTCTATCTAAAAAAAAAGACACCATTCATAGACTGCCACAGTTAGCCAGTGGCATATAGGCAGCTCCCTTCATTGTAATCAAGAACTCTTTATTTGTGAATGTTCGCAATGATGCTTTAGATAAAGTAACTTACTGTAGCTCTGATTGCAACTAAGATACATTTTCACATGATGTATTTAATGAATTTCCGGGAGCATGATCATGCACACACAGAGAGTATCAAAGTTTCTTGAAAGGGTTACGTGCTCACCTGTAGGCATTTTTGGAGGCAGGCCGGGGGTCAAACTTGAAGAAAATTATACACATGGATGTTTTGGGGGATTGATGACAAAGTTTCACTCAGTCATATCTGAAGAAGAGAGATAACAACAGGAAACAGTGAACAAAAGTGTTGAAATCTGTTGTGAAACATGTATTGGAAGACCAGTTAGGACGTGCTCAAACTTTGCAATAACAAAAATGTAGAACACCACAGCTAAAGTTCATCTTAACTGTCTGTGTACAAAGATAATATATCTGAGTAAAGAATAATTGGAAATGTTGCATAACTTTAGCATACAGTCATTGCAATACATGTACTTAGCATACTTACACAGTGTACTTGGCTGTAGGACAAACAAATGGTCTGTCCAGAGTGCATGCTGTGTACACCTGTTAACAAAAGGTTGAAAAAAGCAAGTGTTAGGCATTGTATCACAAAGGTTTACTATCTTTATCATCACTTACACAACGTAATGAGTGCAAAGGTAGTCATTAAGCAACAGGAGTTCAAAGGCTAAGCCATGACTTAAGATGTCATTATAAAGTGTGCTTTATATCCCTACTATCTCGCTAGCAGCCTGTAGCAAATGATACTTCATAAACAATCTACTATAATTGAATGTTAACGGTCTAATGAGTGTGTGTAAAGCCATTTAGGCAACCATTAATGGTGCGTAAAACCATTAACTAACTCTGTGTCAAGGTATTAATAGTTGTCCTATATCAAGATGAGCCATTGTCTGTTCTGCATGTGTCTGGTAACAAACCAGCCTTGCATTGCACCACTAACAGTGTTTAAGTACACATAATAATATATGTCTAGTTTTGCAGCAACCGGCAAACATAGTTTCAACCTGGTGACCTAAGCTAGCGGTAGCATTTTCAAAATCAATAAAGTTATGAAACAACAAGCTGAATTAAGATACTAACCTTAGATATGCAAGACAGATAAGATGTTCATTTGCTAAGATAATTATTTAGCAGCTGTAGTTTACTGGTGTGTTGTATCAGCTAGTTCAGTGCACCTTTACTCGCTGTTGTCAACTAAAAGGAAGTGTTCCTTTTGAGTGATCTCGATGTGTGACTCGCCAACATCTCAAGCGGGCGGGAATACTGTGTTTTCCATTCACCCGATCACACCGGCACTACACATGAACAAAACGAGCGCACTTTCAACACGGCTATGAAGTCTGCTGCGATTGGTCAGTTTACAAGTAACACCAACGGCAAGCTAACGGTAAACAGTTGCGATTACATTTCCGGTTATTGCAAAAATAAAAACATCGATAAAGAAATATACTTAGCTGGAATTATTTAACATAATGGATTCAGGCTTTGCTTCTTGAGGGCAACAACACAGGGCAAGTTATTTATTTCCCAAGGCTACATCACAATTGTCAGTGCTGTATAATGTAGCACAGCACCCAATGCAGAATCGAAATTAAGGACCAACGAAACAACTAAAAACTCCAGTAAAAAATCTTTACTCGAAAGATTGACACATGAAATACTGCTCTGAAGGTGGTCCACTATCTTAAAATGTTAAATCAAATCAATTGCTGTTGGTTGATTTTCTCTACACTCATATGCCCTGAATATATATTTTATTCTGGTGGTGTTTGGATCGCTTTTACTTTGAAAAAATATGCACCATACGTTTTCTTTGCGTTCAAGTCGACTTGACAAACCATGGTATCAGTGAAACATAACAACACATCTAGAAAAGATGAACAGATGATAAAATAAAACATAATATTACTAAAACATAGGTGACTCAATAGTGTGTTTTGTTGCTTTCATTCATAGGCAAATAATGGGAAAGCTGAATAATATGTGAGGAGCATTGATTATACCTACCACATGAAAATACATTTAAATTAAGCTGATAAGGACACTAAATTACCTGATTCAAAATTATTCAAAAATGAAAGACCCATCAAGCATCCTTCAATACAGTGCTGGTGGTAATGGGGCGGAGACTTGCTGTGACCGACAGCATCCAGCACTGTAGTGGATGAGAGGGGGAGACAGAGGCTGCTTTCATACAACACACCGTCGCAGTCACTAATTAGTGGGTTTACAATTAACCATAGTCCCTTTGAGCACAATAAGTAACTTTTAAATCAGTTCAGGATACTTGTTTTTCGCACCCGGTGTGACTGAAAGGACGCACACGGCGAGCACCTGACAACCAACCTGCAATTTGAGATTAAAGGGGTTTGTAAGAGTGATATCCCTGCAGCAGACAGGTTAACTGCAAAATAGCGTTTCTCATCCTATCCTCGGACTACTGCACGCCACAGGAGGGTCTCTTCGCTGTCCAGAACAAGGATGAACAGGAGAAACTGAGGTAATGCAGCTCTTCGTTTTCTCGCGTAAATCCATGTGGTGATTATTATCCTGCAACGCCAAGTTTTAGCCTGGGCCATTTAGGGATACTACTCACGAGGAGGGCGTGACGATAATTTAACAACAATAATGAAATAACAATGTGAAGTGAGGTTGGAGAAAGCTAGCAATAAACCGTCGGCGGTTTTGTTTTTTTAATGAGAGTGCAAATGAGGCATTGATTAGGACACACGGGGCCGGTGTGTGGAGATGTATCACGCTTTTGTTAAATAGTCGGTGTTTTTGTATGTCATAAGGTGTTGGACACTACATTTCATGATGCCCGATAGCTTATTGTATGAAATGCATTGTTAAAAACGTAATATAGGCTATATTGGTGTATGTGAGCTCATATCGCTAGTGGTTTTAGTCAAAGGCAGCGAGCTGTCAATCATCTCATCCTTACTACTCCATTGTTTTACCCCTCCTGTTTGTGAGTGAGTTACCATGGAGAGTCTTCCGGTTTCTCCCCTTTTTAATTACCTTATTTGGACACGGGGCAGCTGTCAGTGGCTGCTGGACTCATGGAGCTGCTTTCATGTCCCATGTGAGGAACCGCTAGAATCACTGAATGCTTCACAAATAATCACCACGAGCTTTGAATGAAGTTTTCAGTACACTTTTACTGGTCCTGGTGAGCTTTTTCACACCCACTGATATGCAATGAATGTGAGCATGGGCAAATCATTTGCATTTACTTGTCCTTAAGGCTTGAGCTCTACTGTCCATACAACCCCCTGCTGTGAGAAGCTTCTGCTTTAATGCATTACTGTTGTAGGTAGGCCTACTTATGGGAAAGTGGCAATAGCTTTAACATTGGTATGATTCGGTCTCTATTTGCCACAATGACAGCGAGTTTTGCACCGATAAAGATTCAATACCCTGTTTTTTGTATTAACTCATTATTCTATGGCAGGGTTTGTTTGAATGATTTATGTCTTAACACATTTCTGCTGGTTTTAAATGCATATGGTGTCCTTGAGTGTTTTTCAATGGCGCTTATACATAAAATGCCTTTTATATAGGCTAACATACTATAACAGACAGCCCTAATGTTATTACTGAATTAATATATTCTCTTAAATGTATCAAGATGCAGTTTTAAATGAGACTTGGCATGGTTTGCAGATTTAAGTAACCCAGTAAGGAGCATTTTTGTCCAAATATTAGTGTTCACTCTTCAGTGCAAAATGCAGGTTTGCACACAGTTGCAATAGGGTACTGTGTAAGAAAGATGGTTGACTTTAATGGCAATTTTATGGTGGTATCCTACTTTTATAACGTATATTTATCACCCATGGTCAAGCCCCTGTAGGCCTGAAGGGCAATGCTTAAGGCGAACATGGACATGACAAGTCAAATTAGTGAATTAGTATACATGATGTGTTTGTTAGTTCTAGTGTACTGTGTCTGTGGATGGTATTGTGTGGTGTGCTGAGAGGTATTTTTCATATTAAGTTAAGAAAAAGGTTTGCCGGTGCAGGAAAAGAGAAGCGATAACTGTGGGCTTCTTGGCACGAGGCCAGATGCTCCAGTATTTTATGTAGTCCTTTCATTTAATATATAAAATCATTGCCGAAAAAACAATTTTATCGCAATCAGTTCTGTTGCAAAGTTTTTAAAGATGTGTGGCAAGATTTTGGAACCAATAACACTTGAATGACCTGAGAATTTAGGCCATTCAGGCTCTTCAGAAATTGTCAGTGAGTGTGAGAATCAATGTGATGGCAAATTCCTTTTATGTGTTACTTTTAATTTCCTTGCATGATGTTTAACCAACGCCATAGTCTTTTTGAATGATTGAGTGTTAATTGAGGCATGTTTTTACCTATGCTAAACTGCTCAAAGTGTCAACATGAGATAGACTTTTAAAAATCCAGCCTTGTTATTACAGATTGAATTCTCCCCTGCAGCTTTCATTCTAGTGTTACAGTCTGCAGGATCTTTCCCTCCCTAAAGACTTTACATATGGGCGCCTAAATGCATTCTGTTAGCGGGAGGATGTGCTGACTTAGACACATCGGTGCAGACCTTTGCAAATATGAATGATGTGAACTCACTTACACCTAGAGGCCCACCACCACTTGTTACTCTGCTGAAAACGGAAAAATGCTCTGTAACCGGGGGAAACAAGAAGACTTCCCATGAATGCTAATGTTAAAAAAAATCCAGTGGCCCTATTATGCTCATTTTCAGGTGTATATCAGTATGTAGTGTCTCTACTGTGACATGTCTCCATGCTTTAATGTTCAAAAAGCTTTTTATGTTTGTGCTGCAGCACCTCTTTTCACCCTCTGTCTGAAACCAGAGCCCAGCTCTGTTGTGATTGATCAACTGCTTAGAGATGTCCCTCCCCTTAGCCTATCACCTACAATGTATTGGAGCGCTAGCCAATAGAAGCGCGAGTATTAGCGATGTCACTGCGTTGCAGAAGTAAACAAAGGAGTTCAATGTGTGTGGGAGAGAAGCTCCCTCTGGAGGGAACACAGGGATGTTAGCCTTTGCAGACCATTTACATGCACAATAACTTACCCAAAACGCAGGGCTATTTAAGTAGAGCAAGGTTTCACATATTTTTACTGAACTCAACAACTTTGACTTGTCTTTTTTTATGTATTCAGTTTTGCCTGAAGCAGAAAAAGCACAGTTGTTAAATTCACAGACATAATCACCAATCAAGCCACTTATTGGCCAACAAAACATGGACAATTGTTGCCAAGGTTTTAGTATTCATGAGAATAAATAAATCTGGCTTTTACATCGGAGCCCTTATTGGGCCTGTCGCCCTGAAAAGACTTCCATAACCACTTGACGATCTTAAAGGTTGAAACGTCATTTTCTAATGGACTTGACAAGACCAAAGGTCAGCTTTAATCTCCCGAGCAGTTCATGCTCTGATGCACTAATTTATTAGGAAGTACGATGCCTGAAGAAGATTTTGTATTCTCCTCAGCCCTGCAGCGTGTTGACAATGTGGATATAAATGTAGAAGCTAGTTACTGTCAGCTCATACTTTTGTCTCAGGTCTGCATGAACTGAATTTGCATGGCACTTTCTGAATATTCCCCCTGCTCTGAAAACTGTCTTAAACTCCATCTATTTTCTACACAGCCTGTACCCAATAGTTTCAAATCTTCAAAATGTTCATAACCGGACATCTGTTACCAATATGTTGAATGCTTAATGTTTAATTCATGTTCTGCACGATAAAGATGCAGCTTAGTCTGTACTAATGATAACATTGCGGTGCGTAGGACTGTTTCGAACTCACGTGATATCCAATGTTCAGAAACTCCAGAGCGTTGTCCTAAACTTTTTGAAGAAAGATAGTTATAATCATATCCAACATGTAATTATTTGTATGCAAAATAGTTGAAACATGTTTGCTCTGCTTTTTGCCAACAAAAAGGACGTGTTTTGAGATGGTGAAACATCCTATTGACAACACCATCATTTCCGTATAGTCACTTTGCAAGACGATGAAATCATAAAATAGGACGACAAAATAGAAGCATAATTTGAAACCACTTTTCAAAGCAATAATGCAAAACACAATGACATTCATTAGAGATGTAATGCTTATATTGTTCAGGGCCGTCTCATATATCTTTTAGTTTTAGGTTAAAGTGCGGACAGATGGATTCTCTGATCAATGATCATGTGTCACTGCAGCCATTACACTGATACTCCAGATGTGCTTATGGCAGAAATGCTACTTAAGCACCTGTTCCACTAGAGCTTCCTCAGAAATGTGTCAGTCAGAAATCATTTTTATGTGCTTTTATGAGGTCATTCCAAGAACATAATGTGTACACTTTAATTTAAGATAATGAGAAACTTATTTCACATTTCCCCCACCGCTCCTTTTTAAAATAAATTGTTCTGCTGTAGCTGATACATAGGAGTTTCCCTGACTTCGGAGAGACGTGTGAATAAAGTTGGGAAGACATTTTTTCTACAATAAGGTTTTATTTAGGGTGGAGGTCTAGTTTTTTCCTAAGTACTGTTTTTCTGAAGGCTGATTAACTGTCATTTCTGCAGCCAATATTCTGTATTGTTGCTTGCATCACAAGTCCTCATGGCACTTGTAAAAGGAGAGAAGTAAACAGATGAAAAATGGATTTGAATTGGTTTTGCAACGCAGTGCAATAACAGCTGCAATGCATTTCAATCAGGAGAGACTTCATTTTGTTTAGAGAACATGTATTGACACATGTCATATGATAAATGTTAAGTCTTTGGCGATTAGACCCCGATCCTGAAATCATATATCTAAAGGGGGAAATGCAGCCGTGAGCATATAGGGAACCCCCCGGGGTCTAGACACTGGTGATGATTCCTGAAGATCTGGATTTGATGAGGAGATGGGATGAAGAGGGGATGTGATGAGGTCTTTGGATTAACTCTCCTGGCTCTGGATATGATGAAAGGAGGAGGGTGGGGAGGAGGCGGCATGAAAACCTGAAATCACAGCTGACTGCAGGAGAGAGGAAAACCATTTTAAAGTGTGGCTGCAGCACGGTGATTGGCTGCTGGAGAATGAGGTGAAATGTAACAGGTTAAAGAGACGCCCGTGATGAGCTGGTTATATGCAGTTGCGGAGTGAATGTATGTACACCCAGGGTGTTTCTCAATGTCGAGGAAGGCTGCTCCAGAGCCACTATTTCAAGGATACTATGTCATCGAGTGCTGCCGAAGGACTGTTCCAATGTGCAGCATACTTGGAATTCTACCGAGGCTGGCATACTTCGTTGCGGGAAATTTCGAGGCTACACATGTGTAGAGTAGACTCCACGGTCTTAAAATCCCCACAATGCTTTGCGCACGGACCAATTTCCAAATCTTTGGCGGAAATCGCGCTCCATTTAAGGCGGGGCCTCGCATATGACGCACACCTGCACACCTGTTCCACAATTCTTCGTTTTCCGAGGCTAGGAAGGATTCTTGCCTCGCTTCTGAAGG